TCAAAAATTGGGTTAAATTATTGAGTTACTTTGCAGAGGAAAATCGAAATGACCTGAAAGAGTTGTTACAATCACACAGAGATATATGTGGGAATAAGCTGGGAAGTTCTAATCTAATTGCACAAGATGTAGATATAGGAAATGCTGTTCCAATTAAGTAACATCTTTCCAGACTTCATGTGTTTAATAATGACATAACAATAATAATTCACCATTATATGACACCTTTTTAATGTAGTACAAATCCCAAAAAGGCCACCTTTATGTTCCAACTCTACAGGATAAATACAGTGGTTTGAATGATTTTTAAAAACTCCATTCCATCCAACCAAAAAACTGTACTACTTTATCACAGTCGTAAAACTGTTCTTCCAGAAGTAAGGAAATACTAATCATCTGGGTAGTGAGAGAGACACTTTCTGACAGATGGATTATTGTTGTAAATGACTACACAAATATGAGATGTCCAATATTGCATGTTTGATGTTTCAGATACCTGTATTCACCTATTCAGTTTAAAATTCCTCTCAGATAATTTAAAGCTCTCTTTCAACTGACATCTGGTTGCTATGAATTTTATTTCTCTTTAGATGTTTAAAATGATTTGTCTCTACCTCTGGCCCTTAAGGATACTCTTCAAATAATTCTTCAGAAGTGATTTTATTTTGCTGATTGTTAGTGAGTAGTGTGTCTTTAATTAAAGCTCAAATAGTAAGTTTGCTGTTTTATTTTAATCTCTAAATGTGGCAGCACCAAATCATTCAGCATTACCATATGTGCTATAAAACAATTAAGAATCTAATAATACTAGAACTACTAATTTACGTTTTGGATGAAAAAAAATGCTAAACCCGTGCAAAAAGGGCTAGCTTTTCTCGTGAGTTTAGATCATTTTGGAACGGCAATTGAAAATATTTCATTTTTTCATAAAAACAAGTATGTTAGCAATGAACTATCTGAATGCACAGATACTTTAAAGAATGTTACATGCTGAGAAACTGATCTCTTTTGCTTCCAGAAATTATGGTTCTGAAGTCAGTTCTGTCCATCAGTGATGAAAGCTGAAAGCATTCCCTGTGGTGTTCATGTTTTTTTTTTTCAGAACTGCAGTTCTGAAGAAGGATTACCAGACTGCTTTTTCTCCACAGATGCTGCCAGACTTGGGATTTTCCAGCAATTTCTGTCTTTGTTTTTGATTTCCAGCATCCACAGTTCTCTCGTTTTTTTATCCTAGAGATTCATTTTTCTGTGATGAGTATCCACAGTACTCTTTAATATTATCCTTTATATATCCTGATCCATGCAGAATGTTTAGTCGTTTCAAATTCTGATAGTATCACAAATGAAAGCAAGATAAATAGGTAGACGTTTGATATTCTGTTGAGTCAGTCAGTAGGAGCCTAATGTTGTTGGTTATAACATTTTGCTGTAATTAAAATAAGAGGAGGGAAAATTGTGATTTGGTGAAGTAGAATGTAGAAACCAATCATCTGCTGTATTGTTTATTGCGCAGTAAAATAGACAGATGTTTCTTCTGAAAGTATAATCTGAGTTTCTAAAAGAAAGAGAAAGGAGGAGAATATGCCCCCATCTACGCTAATGTGGCTGAGATTGAGAGGATAGGGAGCATCGCGTTCCTCAGAGTGATGATAACCGACAACCTGTCCTGGACTTCCTGCGTAGATGCGATGGTCAAGAAGGCCCAACAACGCCGCCTCTTCCTTAGGCGGCTCACGAAATTTGGCATGTCCATAAGGACCCTTACCAACTTTACAGACGCACCATTGAAAGCATATTGTCTGAGCGCATAACAGCCAGGCAGGGTGGTGTGCATAACCCAGAACATCAAGGAAGCCAGCCTTCCATCCATAGACTCTATTTACATGGCTCACTGCCAATATCATCAAAGACCCAAGGCACCTAGATAATGCTCTCCTACGACCACTTCCATCAGACAGAAGATACAAAAGCTAGAACACGCACACAAGCAGGTTCGGGAACAGCTTCTTCCCGGCCATTGTTAGACTGATGAGTGGACTCTCTAGCCTGAAATAATGCTGATCTTGCTAACATTGATCTCGCCTAGCACACACCCTGTGCAATGTCACCTGTATGCCTCTAAGTCTTTTTGATGTGTACATCCTTGCTTACTATGATCTGCCTGTACTGCTCATAAACAAAACTTTTCACTGTTCCTCGGTACATGTGACAATAAATCAATCAATCAATCATATTAGATATTTTTAATCAACCTGCTCAGATGTGTCATGACACACCTCTGGGACAGACTTTCTGGCCCAAATGTAGGAACACGACCCCAACACAGCAAGATCCCTCTCTGATCATTTTACACCTGAGATTTAGATAAGCTGTTCTGATCGTGCATCTTATTTTGTATCACTCTTTATGTCTCGCATGCTATAGAACTCTATAAGCATAGAAAAGTCACAGCACAAAAGGGGACTGTTTGCTCTATTGTATCAGTAGCTGTGTACAACTGCAACTCCCTTATTCCCATTCCTCTCCTTTCCATGTAGCCCAGCAATTTTTTTCCCTTTAGATAATTGTCTAATTCTCCTTTGAAAGCTAGGATTGTAACTTGATCTCAGGGAGACATTCCACATCTTAAACTCTGACTGTAAACGTGAAGGTTTCTCCTCATGTCCTTGTACTTATGGCAATCATCTTAAACCAGCATTGTCTGATTCTTGACCCATCTGCCAAGGAGATGAAGCTATCCAAATTGTCATGATTCTGAATGCCCCCTGTCAAATCTCATCTTAATCTCTTCCTCACAAATAGCAGCCCCAGCTTCTCCAACCTATCAGAGTAACGCACGTTCTCAGTCCCTGGAATGGCTTTCACGAAACTTTTCTATGCTCTGAAATTACCTTCACATCCTTTGTTGTAGTGCCGATATTGGAAAAAAATTCCTGTTCAGCCCAAACCAATTTTTTTTATTTTTTTGTTCAACTTCAGCATAACCTCTTTGCTTTTGTGCTCAATGGCCCTACTTATAAGGTTCAGGATCCTTGATCTGCATTATCAACCCACCCTGCCACTTTCAATGATTTACACCCACATATCAGTAGGTTCCTCTGCTCCTGAATGTCCTATTGAATTGTACACTTCACTGCCTACTCTTGTTCTGTTATCGGAATGAATGACTTAATGCATGTCTGCATTAAATTTCATCTGCCGTTTGTCTGTTCTACCAGCCTATATCCTCTTGAAGTTCATAGTTGTACACAGTTCACAATGCTTCCATGTTTTGTGTCATCCATGAATTTTGACGTTGTATCCTGTATAATTAATAACAGAAAAATCAGGAAACCTAACAAACGCCTGAACAAACCAGCTGTATACCTTTCTCTAGTTATGCTGCCTACTGGATTTAGTGACCAGTGTCCGTGGTAACTGTAGAGTTGTTAATGTTAATCTCCAGTAGCTGTAGATTTAAGCTCCTTTGCCCAAGCTACTCCACAGAATGCCTTCACTGCAGTAAATTTACCATATACTCATATTTTTGATTACATTTGTTTCTGTGTTTGATCCTCTACTAAGCAAACTGCAAGATGTGAAGTGAAAGCAAAAATTGAAAGCTCGTGATTTCATAAAATGAGAATATATCATTAATTTGAAAGGAATATTAAGGGGGAGGTGATCGCCTAGTGGTATTATTGCTGGACTGTTAACCCAGAGATCCAGATAATGTTCTGGGGACCTGGGTTCGAATCCCGCCACGGCAGATGGTGGAATTTGCACTCCATAAATATCTGGAATTAAGAGTCTAATGATGACCGTGAATCAATTGTCAATTGTTGGAAAAACCCATCGAATTCACTAATGTCCTTTAGGGAAGGTAACTGCCATCCTTACCTGATCTGGCCTACATGTGACTCCAGACCCACAGCAATGTGGTTGACTCTGAACTGCCCTCTGGGCAATTAGGAACAGGCAATAAATGCTGCCTGCCAGGGACGCCCTCATCCATGAATGAATGAAGAAAAAAAATAATAATTGACGCGCTTTTTCCAACTCATTGTGTGAAAGATGACAGTGGGAATAATTCCTGTTATGGACATGGTTGATTTTTTTTTAGAACCCCGAATTCAGTTATAGTATGTTTAGTACAGTGTAAGGCTGTCTGGGCTCCACTTTTAAGAATATATGCGAATGGCAACTTCAGAATTTTGATAGAATAGTTAGGTATTTTTATTGAATGGCATGGATTTGATGTGCTGAAGGACCTTTTTCATAGAATCATAGCATCCCTATGGCGTGGAAGCAGGCCATTCAGCCCATTGAATCAACACTGACCCTCCAAAGAGCATGCCACCTAGACACACTCCCCACCCTATCCCTGTAACCCTAAATTTCCCATGGTTAATCTACCTAGCTTGTACATCTCTGGACACTACTGGCACTGAGGCAGCAGTGCTAACCACTGAGCTGCCATACCGCCCCAGGAATTTTCTATGTTGTAAACTTCTGTGACATTACATGGTTTCCATTAGCCTGGCCTAGCTTCGGGAATCGCCAATGACTGTACTGTAACCCACAGCACTGATAGCAGATGGCCACTTCAAGGCAAAATAATAGTGATATCTGTTGCTTTCTTGGAGTAAGAAGTAAATTTTGTGACTGAAGGTCTTGTGCGTTATGAAATCTTATTACTGTAACGGGGGTTCATACTGTGGTAATCCATGCATAGAAACCATTCCATCAAGGGGGTTCTTTCACCTAAGATGATTTGAATGTATGTGTTTCACAAATGTAGTGGTTATATTAAGTATTCAGCAATAATCAAGGGAAGTCAATCAGTTTATTGATTCGGCTTTTGGTTATAATTATGTTCCTCCATCAGAAAAAATATCTCAAAAACCTATATTGTGCTTTTCATTCTTGGCTTGTTAAATAGTTTGTTCAGTTTGGAATTAGGATTTGTCAATAGATTAATATTTTTGTAATCGGACAAGTGCACTGTTCTTTTGTTGCAGGCTTGAAACCCTCAAACTTCCTCAGCTTGGCGATTCAGATATTCGAGCCCAAATGTTAGCAGCACCCATCAATCCATCAGATATGAACATAGTGCAAGGTAATGTGGTATATTGTTTCTAAGGTTAAATGTTTTCAACAACACGTACATGAATTCTGATTTACAAAATACATATGTTTTTGCATTCAGTAAATCATAATTATATTTAACTTATCTTTAACTAGATTTAAAGCATTGAATGTTGAACCTTTAAACCAGAATTGTTGGAGATATAGCAACATCCGAAAGGGGAATAAAATACTCTAATTAAAAGCATTAAGCCATCTTTTTCAGTTATGAACAGTCTAGTTCAGTTTGGCTTCTTATTTTGTTTCAGAATTCCTGCATTAGCATCTTTTATTAACCTGTTTCCAAGTAAGGTATGTTGCTCAAAATTACTTAAAGCAGAAGTAGCTCCACAGAGGCTGGTATCCTGTCAATAAGTCACCCTTTATTTACACATGCATAGAAGTTGACACAGGTCCAGCTTCCTTCGAGTGAAACTGAACCTCTGACACTCCAGTTTATATCTTTCAGCCAGGACTCTCTAATTGGGGTTGTTAAACTGGCTAATCAGGGAACTCATTCTATGAGATCTGCCTGGCTGACCTCGTCACAATCGTGATATCCTTCCACCTCAAAGTCGGGGAACATAAGCCTGTTCTTTCTCTTGCAGCCTCTACTGGGGCATTTTCACACTTGGTCTGGTTCCTTCGACTCAGCCTCAGACTTGGGTTGCGTGCACCAGACCGTAGCCTACCTCTTGTGCCCGTAGCATCTCGGAAGAAATAAATCATCTTCAGTCAGCAAAGGCGTCAAGGCCGCTACATCCACTGTGTCCATCTCAGACTCCGAGGTTTCTTTGCTAGACAGAGGGGGAGAAACTATGCAAGATGGAGAGGGTGTTCTGAGAGCCTTTCTGGCTGTTCTGAGGAGCGAGGTATGTTTTGCTCCTGCCCTATTCATGCGTTTGCAGCATTCATTTGGTCAGTATGTTTGTTCAGGACATCCTCACCTATCTGAACTTTGCATTTCGTGGGACCCGACCTCATGTCAACCATACCTGTTACCCATTCAGGATCATTACTGTTGTTTCTGCACCAAACTTGGTCCCAGAAGTAAACTTTCTCTCTCGCTTAGACGAGTCTTGTGTCCAGCATTGGCATGCCTGATGCTATTTCACCGTCCATTCTAGGTCTGGGAAGATCAGATTTAACCCAGTGCAGAGTCTTCTCCCATTAGCAATTCTGCTGGAGCTGCCCCTGGAGTTTCATGAGGGTGGTCAGGTAATCAAATACGAACTGGAACAGTTTGGTATTGAGTGAAGCTACAGGCTGTTTCTTTTAGCCTGCCTTCAAATTTTGGACTGCTCTTTCTGCCAGACCATTGGACAAATGGATGTTATGGAGCTGTTGTTATATACCAAATGCCATTCAACTTCAGGAAAAACTCATTCTGGCTGTTAAATGATGGTCTGCTGTCTGTGACCAAAACCTTTTGCAGTCAGTGTATTGCAAAAGATGCTTGCAGCTTTTCCATCGTCCCCATGTTTGACAAATGAACTCTATCCACGGTGACTAAGAAAGGCTGACAGAGTCAATGTGTAACCAAGTCCAAGGTTTACCCGGCCATTCCCATGTTGTGGAGCTGCTGGCTGTAATTTTTGTCCTTGTTGGCACTCTGGGCACTGCCTCACCACTACATGCATCCCATCCTGATCACCGGTTATAAATTCTTGCCAACATCCTCATGTTGGAGACTTCTGGACGACCCTGGTGGAGATCAGCCTGTATCGACTGGCAACCTTTGCTTGGGCTGCTCACTCTTCTGATCTGTAATAAAATGCTATCCTCTACAATGATCTGGTCTCGCTGGGTCCAGCAAGGTTTCAATTCTGGTAGTGGGGGCCCTTTTAATTTCCCCCATTAGCACCAGCTGTTTTAGCTTTGCTAGGACTGGATCTTTTTGCATCCAAAGTCTGATTGTCAGCGGTGACCAGAAGGGTGTGCACAAAATTTAAAACCAGAACCGGTGGTGTACCTGCCAGCAGGAGGCTGCTCAAGACATCCATATTTGCTCCTGGACAGTGTTCTAACTTATGATAGTGAGCACTAAGAATGTGATCCCACCGCTGGCAGTGGTTTGTGGCTTGTTACTGTTACAACTTTACATTCGTAAAGGTACTGGTGACTGTTTAACCATTGTTTATTTTGGTTCTGATTTGGATGTCGCTAAGCAATTGAACTGTTCCAATCCAGATATAGATGGGCTTTCAAGGGTGTGCACTCTCCTGGATACCGGCCGGTGAGTTCTCTTGCTCACTTCGGGTCTAGTGGGATTCATGCTGTCTTGCTATGATGGTTTGCCAGCCCAGATCCTGAAGATCATTTTAACTGTTTGGCTGAGGCTTGGCTTTGTTTTGGGGTTTTTCTGTGAGCTGACCGAGAGTCCCTCTGTTCAGGTTATGTCCTGAATGAGGCTATGCAATTGACTTCTGTCAAGTGGTGTCCCCAAGCTCAGTCAATGTGGCATGGGTGACCACTTAGAAGAGCATATCCTGTAAAACACATGTTCCACTTGCCACATTTTCTAATGATGAAGCCAGCTATAGTACCTGTTTGAAATCCAGCTGGCCTTCAGGTATTTAGTGCTCTTACATGGTTACATCATTAATCCCACTCTTTGTCACTAGTAGAATAACTCCGCAGAGACAAGTATCCCATCACCAAGTCACCTTTTATTTACACTTGCGTATTACTTGACACACCTCCGGCTTCCTCAGAGCCAGGTCTGAGTGAACAGAACCTCTGTTTATGACAGAAACTCCTGTTTGTCAGAGGTCTCCGATCGGATCAGGTTAAACGTTCCAGTCAGGGAACTCATTCTGTGAGGTCCACCTGCCTGACCTTGTTACAACTACTACAAAAGCAACTCAATTGGTTTCTGAATAAGAATTTATTATGAAAATTGTTTATATTTGAGGCCTTTAGTCTTCTAAGAAAAATGTGTAATTGCATTAGCTTTGCTATATTGTTTGATTATGGGAAGGAGACACTATCAAAATTTGACTACATTGTAATTGAGACAGTGAGTATAAGTTTGCATAATTTAACAACAGATGTAAGGCTTTGAAGAAGTAAAATTGAGCGGTCACTTGCAGCTTGCTTTTGCATTGACACTGAAACATGTTTAAAACATGTAAGAAGATGGAAATACTGCTATAATGAATATATACTGCTATATTCTGAAGAAGGGTCCCGACACAAAACGTCAATTTTCCTGATGCTGCCTGGCCTGCTGTGTTCCTCCAACTCCACACTGTGTTGTCTCTGACTCCAGCATCTGCAGTTCCTATAATGACGTGTTTGGTGTCTGCTGTAACATTTCTGTGTCAGTGAAGCTGACGTCCAGAGTTATGCTGAACCAAAATTAAATTTAGATTTTTTTTCCTGTGATAACATGCCTTTAAAACAATAAATGTTCAGCTTTTAAAGTATTTAAATTGATGAATAATTACAATAAAAATGTTTGTATGTGATTTTAATGGGTCGCGGTGGCTTAGTGGCGTTACCTCTGAACTAGTAATCCAGTGGTCCAGTTGACATCTGTGAATGTTTGTTCACACGAGTGCAATTTAAATTCAGTCAACAAAATTTGGTATTTTAGATTTGTCCAAGTGATGGTGACCATGACATGTATTCATTATTGTAAAAACCCAACTGATTCTCCAGTGTCCTTCAGGGAAGAAAATCTGTCTTCCATACCTGTCCTGGCAATCCTGTCCTGGCCCCCAAATGTCACCAGACGCCAGCAATGTGGTTGATTTTTAACTGCCTTCTGCAATGGCCTATAAAGTTACTCTGTTCAAGGGAAATTAGGGATGGACGACGAGTGTTGGCTTTGTCGGTGATGTCCACATGTTCTGAAAGAATAAGAAAAATTGTTCTAATGTAATTTAGAGAAATGGAGCCACATGCATTCACTTGCTTTCAGCTTGACTTGATTCAGCAAAATTACTTTGGACTACTTTTAAATGAATTATTAAGCTAAATTGTAATCATCATTTCAAATTTAAGAGGAGAATGTCACCTCCAACTTTACATCAGCACTTCTAGGAAATGAATAACTGGGGAAAATATGTTTGGATATTGAAATAGCTGCACAGAGGCTGGTATCTAATCATCAAGTCATCCTTTATTTACATGTGCGCAGTACATTGGCTATGACCAGCCAGCTCAGAGTCAGTCCCCTGAACTGAGAAAATTCTGAATCTCCTGTTTGTATTGGTCAGCCAGGGCTCCCTTATTGGTCCAGGTCAACAACCCCAATCAAGGATCTCGTAGTCAACAAAATCCACCTGGTTCCAAACACTACAGATTGACCAAATCATTTTTATTATGGTTTTTAATGAGCCAGCAAGAATAAATTACAAAAGCTGATGCGTTTAATCTGACAGCATTGTCTGTAAATGCTTTTGCTACTCATTTATACAAAAGAATCACATTCTGTAATGTTAGGAGAAACATGCTGATTCTAGCTGGAATAATTTGCTATATTTTTGCCCTAATTTTTGCCCTATTTTCTAGCAGATTACTGCTCTCAATAGCTATTGTTGCTGTTCCTAATGCAGTTGTTGAATTTGTCAGTGTTTTGACATTTGAAGTATTTTCCAGCGGTATGTTGAAAGTAATTTCAATTTATAATACTACTACTTTCTTTCACCCCACAAAAATGTCTCTTAATGGTTTTCCTAAATGAAGAAATTCCAAGTTTGCAAGTCATGGGGCAATCTGCTGCATTGGATCTCTTCACTGGGAGCTGCACCGCTGTGATCTCATAAGGATCTATGACACAATCACTTATTTTAGCAAGTTCAAATGGCAGGTGTCTTTTTAAGGAAATTACACTTGCTTCATTCTGAGTCTGGTCTGAATTGTGTCGAAACAGGCTATTTCATTTTCACATCAATTGTTCTCGTGTGCTGTCAAATCAATTTTGCCGAATTAGGACTTGTTAATGAACATTTTGCTTTATGAAGTTGTGGGGAGACTGTCCTAGAACTGTTAAAACAGCCATCAAAGAGAGGAAGCCATATCTCAGTGTGAACGGCACCTGAACATTTTTTGCGAGGGAAAATGCTCTGGATTTATAAATTTATTTCTAGGATTCCATGTTTTTTTTATTCCTTCATGGTATGTGGGCGTTGCTGGTAACCCTCATTATTCTTGTCAAGATTGTGATGTGCCACATTTTTGACAATTGGGTAACTTGCTAGGCAATTTGAGGGCCATGTTGGTTGGTCTGGAGTAACATATATGTGTTGGTTTGGGCCAGGACAGCAGATTCCCCCCACCCCACAAAGAACATGTGTGAACAACTTGGCATTCTATGACATTCTGGTGGTTAAATGATAAATTATACTGATATTATTCTTTTTAATTCCAGATTTATTTAATAATTTGTATTTAAATTTTCCTAGCTGGTGGGATTTGAACTCGTCTTTGAATCATTAATCCAACATCTCTGAATTTCCAATCAAGTAACTTAACCACTACATTACAGTTTCTTTGAATGAGCAAATAAAACCAAAGCAAAATGACAGTTTTGGTTTGGAAGTGGCTTAAGACTCCCACTTCAGTCATAAAAAGCAAGCAGCCCCCCTTACCCGTACTTCGTCATGTAGTCCAGCAGACTGGACAGTTAACAAAGTAATACTAACAGTTGAGTGCAGTCTACTCGCACTTTGTTATGTATGGGTGTCTTTTTGCAGGTACCTATCCTATTCTCCCTGATCTTCCAGCAATTGGAGGAAATGAGGGAGTAGGACAAATTCTGGAAGTAGGCAGTAAAGTAACTAATCTGAAGCCAGGAGACTGGGTGATACCATCTGATGCAGGGCTGGGTAAGTTTCTATATTTGCTTCACTTCAAAGATGTGGCAAACAAGGAATAGAGTCAAATGGTGTGCTGCTACTGTTTGTTGTTTCTTGAAGTCCACAGATATAAAATTGATCACTGTTTCTTATGTATGTGATTTGAAACTTGATGACTATCTTTAATGAAATATGATACAGGATTACTTTATCTGTAGTTTTCTACTCAAAGTAGTAACTTTCAAAAAACAGTCTGACTTGTATACATTGCACCTATTAACTCAATTATTTTCTACTTGGGGAAGAAATCAGAATCTGCAGGAGTTTGAGTAAAGCAATTTCACTAAAAGAGTAAAAGCAAAATACTGTGGTTTCTGGAAATATGAAGCAAATACAGAATGCTGAATGAACTCCGGTCTGGCAGCATCTGTGGAGAGAGAAACAGAATTAACATTTGGCGCTTAACAAAGCCATCTATTTGTAGATGATTTCTTTATTCACTCCTGAAGAGGAGTCATACAGGACTTGAAACGTTAACTGTCTTTCTCTCTCCATAGATGCTGCCAGACAAGCAGAGTTTCTCCAGCATTCAGTGTTTATTTCATCAGAGTAATGGATTTGTTTTGAATTTTAGTAAACTGAATTTAAAAGAAGTAAATTCACGTGAAGATGGATTAATTTTTATAAAGAATGTAGACAGTAGAGTGCTGATTTTTGTTCCCATCCTCAATTGGAGGGGTGAGACCAATTATAGCACTTCAATTGTTTTAGCAGCTGGGAGGCCATGCAGAAATCTGAAATTTCACACTTGGGCCACAAAAAAATTAAGTTGACTGTGCAGTTAAGTCAGCTGCACATTTCAACAAAAAAATTAGATAACTTGTTTTCTACGATATTGTTATCTTTATGCACAGTATGTGGTGTGTTTAATGAGTCAACGCAGACCTTTTTATGAAAAGCCCAAATAATTTCACCTGAAATTGATTTTGCAAGACGTAAAGCTACATCAGGGTATGATGTGTACACGAGCTTTCACTATACACTGTAAAGGAAATTGAATATTTAATAAGTTCTGTTCTAATGTGTGTGAATACACAGGAACAAGTTACCAATGGTATCAGTAATGTTTCCTGTTAGTTTTACAGTTTAACTGACTTCTTGAAGGAGCCTGCCTTTTTTCAATAATTGAAACTTAAAAGGTCTCAAGGAAATTTTATTAATGATGAGCAAGCCCGTTTATACGAAAGCCCTTCCTAATGGTGAACATTAATGGCATTGGAGGCCTGTATTATTCCCAAATGTGCTTTGTATGTTGCTTCTCAAAATGAGTCAGATTTCCTTCAATCTGATTCAAAAGTGTTTGAACTAAATAAAAATAACTGCCTGATCCTAGATTCTGCTAAACAATGCCTTAATGTTTCCTCTCTCTCATTGGTTAACCCCTGTGCAAACACACTTCCATTAACACTTGAGAAGGCACATGCTGGTTTAAAATCATGACCTAATTAATTTTAAATCCCTTCACAAAAATAAGCCAACACCCATATGCTACTAGTTTAAGCTTTTACAAAAGTGATATTTGTTTTATAACACAACTTTCATCACATTAGCCTCTACCACACATTTGCAGACATGAGAGGGCACAATGCCTTATCCTATCAACTTGGGAATCTCAACATAAAAGGCTGAATCAATAAATCTTAACATTTCAAGGGAGAGAAAGAAAGTGGTTTAATTGCCACGGTGGTCTTATGCTTTGCCTACCAATTTCATTAGAATTCTATACTTATTCTCAAAGGTATAATTTATTAAGGGTCTCTCACCCTGAACAATGCAGACTTTGACCTGCTTTTCCCATCACTGATACAGTTTTTCTTCAGTCACCAACTCTACTTTCCAATTTAATGCATTGAAAACACTTTAAAAATTGTGTTCTTGTGTATGTGAATGTTGCAGTGGTATAAAGGTAATGTTACTGAGCTAGCAAGCCAGAAGCCTAGGCTAATGCTATGGGCACATAGTCATACAGTGCGGAAATAGACCCTTCAGTCCAATCAGTCCATTGCTGAACATAATCCCAAACTAAACTAGTCCCACCTGCCTGCTCCTGGTCCATAACCCTCCACCCCTTTCCTATTCATGTAGTTATCGAAGTGTCTTTTAAACATTGTAACTGTGCCCACATCCACCACTTCCTCAGGAAGTTCATTCCACACACAAACAACCCTTTTTTTTTAAAAAGGTTGCGCCCCTATCGTTTTTTTTTAAATCTCTTGCCTCTCACTTTAAAAAATCCCCTCTAATCTTGTGTTGAAGTTACTTGTGTACTTTGTCATATATGTACTTCGTTTTTCATGAATTTTTAAAAAATCACTTAATGTTGAACCATCTTTTAGACCCTTGTTCTGTAACTCTATTTGAACTCTTGCCAGCAATGTCCTCCCTTTAATTTTTCCTATACTATTGCATGTTTGCATTTACACTGCTTGAACTCAAATGTCCCCAGTGCAGCTGGTGGAATTTAAGTTCATTTAACAAAATAACATGAAATGAAAAGCTAGTTTGGTAATCAAAGTAATGGAAGGAATCATGGATAATGCAATCCAGCAGGACTTTCTCACCTATAACATGCTCACCTATGATTGTTTTAGATTCTGACAGAGCTACTCAGCTCTTGACCTCATTAGTGCCTTGGTCAAACATGAGCAAAAGAGCTGAACTCCAGAGGTCAAGTAAGAGTGACAGCCCTTGACAAAAAGGTAGAATTTGCCTGTGTATAATATCAAGAAGTCGTAGCAAACCTGAACTTAGTAGGAATCAGGGATAATTGGTCCACTGATTGGAGTCATACTGGGCCCAAAGAAAGTCAGTTAGGGATCAATCATCTCCATCATCAGCATTACTGCAGGAATTCCTCAGGGTAGTGCCCTCGGCCCACCAATCTGCAGCTGCTTCATCAGCAACCTTCTGACTGTATAAAGTTGGAAGAGGGGATCTTCACTGATGATTACACAATAGTGATATTGAATGATTACATCATTGTGACTCTTCACATACTGAAGCATTCCATGCTAAAATGAGGCAAGAGCTGACCAGTTTCCAGGCTTGGGCTAATTAGTGGCAAGTAATATTCACACCCACAATACCAACCCAATTCTCTGATAACCAAACAGCTGGAACAAGATATAGAAAGAAATGATCAGATCTTTGCTAGTTGTGGAGCAGTCTCTCTGTTCTCTGCAGTCAAAACCCACTTTAAACCTGAAGAAAACCTGTTTTTTTTTTAAATTGGGATGCAGATTATCATTATTGCGTATCCCTAATTGCTACATGAACTGACTGGCTTGCTAGGACTATTCTGTAGGGCCTTTAAGAGTCAACCATATTGCTGTGGGTTTGGTGTCTCTTGTATGCCAGACTATTAGTGATGCAAGTAGGTTTCTACTACAATCAACGGTGGTTCCACCGTTAGCGTAGCTTTTAATTTGAAATTTTCATTTATTCAAATTCCACCATCTGCTATGATGAATTTCAAACCTCTGTACCCTAAATAATTAGCCTAGATCTCTGGATTATTAGTCCTGTGACAATACCACTTTGCCACCACCACCTTTTTACATTGCTCCCTCTTTCTGCAGTTGCTTTAAGTTGTGACTTATTTTTATTGGTAAGTCGGAGACCATTTCTAAGTGAACCATTTATTTCACCCTCATGTACCAGTCTATATTCCTTTTCAAATAAATTGACTAATGTTACAATCTTTAATTAGGATACTGTGTCTAAACAAATATTTTGTTCTAAATGGCAGTGAGCAGTATTTTTAATACATTTAACAATACAGATGCTGTTTTAAAGATGTATGTCCTGTAGTTTTATTTCAATAATTTACTTAGCATTTTCAAATACTAAAGACATCGGTGAATATATAGTGAATTGTTTTAATCACTATTCAGAGTTTTAGAAAAGCATTCATCTATGCTGTGACTGTTCATGCAGGAGGTTCACTAGCCACGTTAGTGCTTTGACTGTATAATTATCTTTACAGCTCAGGACATCTGGTGCATTGCCAACGCAGAGAGCTAGGGGTAACATATAATCACTTGAACTGCATCTCTCTGAGGGAAGGGGCTAAGCTGCAAGATGCAGTGCTATTTCAGATTGACAGGTCAAAGTTGTCTTTATGAGCTCACTGTTTAAAGTAGCACATGACATGAGCTCAGAAAGTCTTAACCAAATTCCTCATGAGCTTGGATCCGGAGTAGAAAGATGCAAGCAGACCAACGGCAAATTTGGCATCCAGTCTTTTGGCGATTGTGTTGTCCTGGTCCTTGGTGGGTGCATGCCATGGTTTGAGAATAAAGCACCAGAGTTGTTGTATCTGTTCATTGCGGGGTCCTACCCAGCTTATACTTGACCCAGAAATGAATGTTCATTTGTATTCACACCTCACCTTATGCAAGCAAAAATACTGTGGATAAATTGAACATGTCACAGAATCGCAGAATTGTTGTGGCATAGAAAGAAGCTGTTTGCATCTGTTGTGGAATGTGGATTGGGGTTGTGCACTGATGCACCAAAAACGGGCAGTGGAGAAAGATATCATGGATGTGTATTAATTACTTAAACTAGCAATTCATTTTGAAACTTGGACTGTTGAATTTTAGATTCGTTTTACTTCAACTTGTGTTATTTTTACAGGAACCTGGAGAATGGAAGCAGTGGGCAATATGAATCGTTTTAGTAAAGTTTCGAATAACCTACCTCTTCTATGTGCCGCTACCTTGGGTGTCAACACATGTACTGCCTATAGAATGTTGTGTGACTTTGAGACACTGAAGCCTGGTATGTATCCCTATTCAATTCAAAACTAACGATAAATTTTGAGAATTGAGTTTAAATTCGCAATTTCAGCACGTGGATAGAGTCATATAGGCATGGAAACAGACCCTTCAGTCCAACTTGCCCATGCCGATGAGGTATCCTAAACTGCACTACTCCCATTTGCTTACGTTTGGCCCGTATCCCTCTAAACCTTCCCTGAACTTGTATCTGTCAAAATGTCTTTCAAATGTTGTAATTGTACCCACCACTGGTTCCTTTGACAGCTCATTGCATATATGCACCACCCTTCATGTGAAAAAGTTGCCCTGCAGGTCCCTTTTAAATCTTCCCCCTCTCACGTTCAGCCTATACTCTCTAGTTCTGGGCTCCCCTATCTTTGGAAAAAGACCTTGGCTATTCACCTTACCTATTCCCCTATAAGGTCATTACTCAGCCTCCAATACTCCAGGGAAACAAGTTCCATTCTATACAGCCTCTCTTTATATTTCAAACCCTCCAGTCCCTTGCAAATTTCTTCTATATCCTTTCCAGTTTAACGACATCCTCCCTATAGCAGGGCGACCGGAATTGTTTGCAGTATTCTAAAAGCAGCCTCCTCAATGTCTTGTACAGCTGCAAGGTGATGTCCCAACTCCTAAGCTCAACTTTATGACCAATGAAGACAAGCATACCAGTGCTGCCTTCACTACCCTTTCTATCTGTGACGCCACATTCGAGGAACTATGAACCTGAGCCCCTAGGTCCCCTGTTTCAGCAACACTCCCCAGAGCCCTACTGTTAACTGTGTGAATCCCGCCCTAGATTGCCTTACCAAAATGCAACATCTTGCATTTATCTAAATTAAACTCCATCTGCCACTTCTTGGTCCATTGGACCAATGATCAAGATCTTGTATCTTGGATGACCTTCTTCACAGTCCACTATAATACCAATTTTAGTGTCACTCCCAAACTTACTAACCATAACTCCTGTATTCTCATCCAAATTGTTGTTATAAATGACGAACAGTGGACCTAAAACCGATCTTGCGGTACATGACTGTTTACAGGCCAAATAACAACCCTCTGCCACTACCATCTTCTACCATCAAGCCAACTTTGTATCCAATTGGCTATCTCTTCCTGGATCCCATGCGATATAACCTTACTAACCAGTTTACCATGCGTGTACTTTTAACTTCACATTGTTATTGTGGAAAATACATCTTGTTTCCCATGATAATTAATTATTAAAAGCATTGAGGACGGAAGTGGATACCAGTCACTAAGGCTGAACAACGATGTGATATATTTCAAACTTGTCCAAAGAGAAGTAGCAAAGGTGACACAAGCATCTAAGAGACCTGGCACTTCTCCATGATCTGAATCCCTGCGAGAGTTTTGGATTTTGGGTAAGATCGGACTGCATTTGGCTGTGATTAAGCCTGAAATGAACAGCCCATGAAAAAGAGTGGCTATTTGGATAGAATTCCAGAAGAACTGTAATACAGCTGAAATCGGCTTTAATAGAGAAGAAGACCATGAGCCCATAAGAATTAGGAACAGGAGTAAGCTGTTGGGTCTGTCAAGCCTGCTGCACCATTCAACAGGATCATGGCTGATCCAACACTCCTCATATCCTCTTTCATGCCCTTTCCCCATAACCCTTGATTTCCCCTACTGATCAAGACTCTGAGATTTACAAGGACTGTGTGTCTCCAACTGCTGACTATGTCTCCAGTGCACTCTATAGTAAGCAGTTCCAAAGACACTCCACCTTCTAAGAGAAAAAAATCCTCTTGGTGTCCGTTTTAAATCAACAACCCTTTATTTTGAGACTGTGCACTTTGGTCCTATATTCTGCCATGAGGAGAAACATCCTCTCGGCATTTACTGTGTGAATCCTGTTAAGAATCCGACATGTTTCAATCAGATCACTTATTCTTCTAAATTGCAATGATTTGAGTCATGACCTGTTTAATCTTTGCTCATAAGATAATCCCTCTATGATGGGAATCAACTCAGTGAACGTTCTCTGAACTGTTTCCAATGATTTAAATCTTTCTTTGAATAATGGGACTGAAAGTACTCTCAGTACTCGAGATGTGTCCTCTCACCAGCAGCTTGTACAAATGCAGTAAGACCTCCATGCTGTTATACTCCAAACTCCTTGAAATAAGGGCCAACATTCCATTAACTTTCCTGATTACCTGCTGCACCTGCATGTGAGCTTTGTGTTTCATTTTCAAGTACCCCCAGTCCCTTTTTGTTGCAGCTTTGTGTAGTTTTTCTCTTATTAAATAATACCCATTCTTTCGTTCTTCCTTCCAAAATGAACAACTTCACATTTATCCACATTAAATTATTTTACCCATAATTTAACCTATAAATATGCTCCTGTATGCTGTTTATATCCTGCTCACAACCTGCCTTTCCACTTATTTTTGTGTTGTCTGCATGTTTGGCTACAGTACATTCGCTTCCTTCTTCCAATATTTAATATATCTTGTAAACAATTGCAGTCCCAGCACTGATCACTGTGGACCCCCAGGTTGCCAACCTGAAAAAGAACCCCTTTATCCCGACTCACTATTTCCTGTCCGTTAGCCAATCTCTATCAATGTCAATATACTCCCTACAACATTGTGGTCTTGTATCTTACAACGTAACCTTTGTAAGCTACCTTGTCGAATGCCTCTGGAAGTCTGAAAACAAAAGACAGCTGGTTCCCCTCTAACCAATCTGGCTAAGATTTCCTCAGAAAACTTATTAGTCAGACATGATTTTCCTTTCATGAAGCCAAACTTCCTTGTTTGATTCCAATACTTTTCTAACAATCGGTGTTAGGCCGATTGGCCTATAGTTACCCACTTTTTGCCTCCCTCACTTTTTGAATTAGGCTATCACATTGGCAATTTTCCAATCCTGTGATACTTTTCCAGGATCCAATGAGTTTTGGAAAATTTCAACCAATGTATCTACTGTCTCTGTAGCTACCTCTTTTAGGATCCTCAGACGCAATTTAGAATCCTCAAATGCAAGCCATTAAGGGCCAGGAGACTTGTCTGCCTTTAGCCTCATTAATTTACCTAATACTGCTTCTCTAGTGATGGTAATGGTACTTATTTCTTCCCCTGTATTTAGTAGTGAAAATAAAAGTTTTTTTAAACAAAATGATTTTGCATAGTCTTAAATGGCGACCCCTCCTTTTAAAAATGCATCTGTCTGACACCAAAATCGATTATTTGGCTGAAAAAGGTATGAAGAAAAATGTGATAACTGGTGTAATCGTGAAAGACTTGGTTGCTGCTGAAACTGATTATTTTAGTCTGTTTGATTATTAAGTCATGCATGTATAAAATATTTTCATGAGCGTACTTTGAGCTTGAGGGAATGGTTTTGGATAAATGTATTTTAAATGCTTCTTGTAAAACTCATAGTATCTTTATAAATTCAGTCTCACCCAGTACATTGTGTTCAGATAATTGAGCTGCATTTTTGAAGTTCTTTCTCCGTGATTTCGATAAGCTCTTGCCTGCTATTTCTTCCTGCTTGTCCCTGATTGTTGGGTCTTATTTTCAATTTGTATATTTTTTTCCCAGATCCATTTATTTAAAGGTGTTTGAGTGTCGTCTTCATTGCATGGCTTCTGAAGTGTTAATATTTTGAAATGTGCAAATTAAGATGCTGTAGTGTGTAATCTGTTCTTTACAAAATTTTAAATATCTGAAGATGTAGGTAAGCATTTGATGCAATTGTGAGTAGCAAATATACAACAGGATGGGCTGTTTATTCTCAAATCTATTCCTGTGCAGCACTATGTTCCCAAGACTGGAGAAGAAAATATTGTCCTCAGAATTTAAAAAGGGAAGCTTGACCAACAGAGATTATAGAGTTAAATTGATTTCTTGGTTTTTTTTGTGAGCTTACTTTGGAGCAGTGCTGGTCAAGGAGAAATCTTTATCTTCTTTGAAGTTATTCTGGTGCTTAATAGCCAACTTTAAGGGTTTAAAATAAAGACTTGTATGTTGGTTGTTTATCTAAGTGCCTTTTTATTGTACACTACCATTCCACCTGACCTTTTACTGTTTGTTTCCTGTTCTTTAATTTAAAGCAATTTCTGTCGTGCATGTTACAAAAATAGATTATTTTCCATTAAAAGTGAGGCATTGCTGAAAAGTTTAATCAGGTGATATTTCATACTTATTATCCACATGGCAGGTATCAGCTGTCATTAAATTGACCAACTTATTTCCAAGCTTTGATTTCATTTTGCAGTTGTTGAATGGTATGAACATAATATGCCATAAGTACAAAATATGAATACAAACACAAATTTTGATTGTTTATCTTTGAAAATCAAGACCTAAAGGGTTGACTGTCAATGCTGTTAGGGTGGATTTTGTTAAGAATGATGGTGAATGGCTTGGAGGGGAACTTGGAGAGGATCGTGTTCCCATGTATCTACTGCACTCCTCCTTCTAGATGGAAGTGATCATGTGTTTGGAAGGTGCTGTCTAAGGATCTTTGGTGAATTTCTGCAGTGCATCTTGTTGATCTTACACACAGCCTCAGTGGTAGGAGGAGTAGATATTTGTGGATGTGGTGCAAATCGAGCGGCTGTTTTGTCCTGGATGGTGTCAAGTTTATGAGTGTTTTTGGAGATGCATTCACCCATGTAAGTGGGAAATGTTCCATCGTGCTCCTGACTTGTGCCTTGTAGATGATGGGTAGGCTTTGACAGTCAGGAGGTGAGTTGCTCAGTGCAGTAACCCTAGCCCTTGACCGGTTGTTGTAGCCATTGTGTTTATCTCGCAAGTCCAATTGAGTTTCTGGTTAATGGTAATCCTCAGGATATTGATTTGGTGGTGATAGGTCATGGGGTGTTGGAATTCAGTGATGGTAACACCACTGAATGTCAAGGGGTGGTGATTAGATTGTTTGTTATTGGAGATGGTCATCCCATTTATGTGGTATAAATGTTACCTGGCACTTGACAGTCCAAGCCTGGATATTGTCCAG